ATTCAATCCCGTCAAGTTCTCATTTCGCTCTTGAGGGTTCATCGAAGTGCGCCGCTATTAGGTATCGCCACTAGAGTAGCACTAGCGTGCTGATTAGTTTTGCTCCACAGGCACCACTAATGTTCAGAATAACATTCCACGGCTGCTAGGTGTGGGTAACGGGGTACAAAGAAGGATTTGTAGGTACCAAACGCCTTGTCATTGAAAATACCAAGAAAAACTGCCGATAAGCTCAAAATCAGGTCTTTTTTGCATTTATTCCAAGCTTATGGTTAGTACGAGCTTATACTAAAGAGACACACAGAGCGATGGCATGAGAAAGAGCACACGTCAAAAGATGAGAGAGCATATGGGCTAGCGAGATGCGGGCACCACCATTGATGCCAGTTCCAAAGTCCATTCATTGATAAGTGATGAAACCACTGTAGCAAAATCAAGCCTCGGTGGCTCTACAGTACAATTTCGCGTAACGAAATTTGTACAATCAGAACCGCTCAGTCTACTTTTGTCAGGCAGAGTTTCCTCGGTTTTCTTTCAGTACGAATAACAAAATTTATTGCACAAGCTTGCTTTTGTGCCCCACATCGGTCATATGCTACCACCACTGCAGTGGGAGGAGGACAAAAATCCCTTCAAGATTTTTTCATTCGCCATGTTTTGCTCTCGATTAACTCGGCATATCGGTGATGAGTAGTTATTGCCCTGTTAAAAGTGCACAAGGAGGTGGTCGATGACACGCCATCCGCTAACTTCTCGAGCCGAAAAGGATGGAAGTCGAGTTTGTGGATATCCGACCAACGTCGAAACACACCTACAAGTTCTTCGACACTATCTGACTTCTCAAGAAAGCGCTGAGGAGAGGAGATTTCATCAGATCGGATAAGCTAACAACAAGTACAGTGCAGTACACACTTGAATGGACCTTTCTTAGAGCTCCTGTTCGAAACGTTGTATTGTAGGGAGCTAGCTCCTTCATAATTCACAGGCATTCCTCCCTCCGATTCGTTGTTGGATTTCTGACATGGTTCCGGAAATGAACTGTTCTCGGATCGTTGTCAGGAATGAATGATATTTTTGGATTTTTTGTTTGATCGGCCAGAATTGTTCAAGAAAAGTCCTTTCTGTAAAGCCTTTCTGTATGCAAGAGTCCAAACATGCTAGAGGTAAGAGAACTAATTCATAAAACAAGCGAATTCAGAGGGACTTCGTTCGTCTGGAAAAGGATAGCGTGCGACCCCATCGCGGTGTGCTCTTCTCAGAATGTTTAAATGTGGCGAGAGCTTGTTAGCGAACATAAAAATAACAACCTACCGTTTGCACGTCATCATTGCTGTAGGTATCCAATCCGTAACCAATATTCTCCGTGACGGATCTGGCGTACAGCACCGGTTCTTGACCGACTAGAGCAACCTGTAGAACTTCATTTTGGCGCTTCGTTACTTAATGAAATACCCACTGTGCTCCTACTTTTGTATGCAGGTACTTGTGGTTATACTCGCGAATAGGAACTCCATCCAGAAGGACCTGAAATAAATGGTTAGAACAATGCTCAATGACAAATAGTTGGGAACTACGTCTCTTGCTTAAGCTGAGTGAGACAACCGTAATGATTACCGTACCTCTCCTCCATTAGGTTCGTAGAAATGCTCCAACATAGCGATACAACTCGATTTTCCGCCACCAGATGGACCCACCAAAGCGACAAGTTGGCCTGGTTCAACGGTGAAAGTGAGGTCCTTCAAAAGAAGATACCTGTGAGAACTTCCAATAACAACATCACTAAAATTGACCTATGGGAGATGTATAATCCCGACCCGAGGTTCTTGGCGTGCGCAATATGCACATTGCTGACGCACGCGGTTGCGTAGCGGCATGGTATGCTAATGAGACATAACAACAAATATACTGAAAAGGGCAGAGAGGTGAATGCCATCGATTAACGGCTATGATAGGGTTTTCCTGGGAAGTGCAAAGAGTGAATCAGCCGCTCCACAACCGCACGCTCACCTGTAGTTGCACAACTACGGCGAATTGAACACATGTGAAAAAAGATGTCTAAAATGATTATCGGTCACAAATTGGGCACCTTAACCCCATAATCTTGACTTTGACATCCTTCTCTTCCAGTTCTAGGAGGCAGAACAATTTAACCAGCCCTTATTCCACAGATTTATCTGAAATCACCTTTTGACCACCTTACCCTCACACATTCTCCGCTCCTTTCACCAATTGAAGATTTCTCAAAAAAAAAAACGGAAAAACGTTCCTTACCGTCATGATAGGAAGATCTGGTCGAATAGGATAGCTGAACTGTACATTCTTGAACTCGATTCGTCCGACAAGCTTCTCTGGAGCGTATGTGCCGTGGTTCTTAACATGAAGAGCTTGCAGAAGCATTTTGCGGATTACGGGTTTGTGGGGTTCATTTCCATACCCTGGCAGCCAGCCACAACGCCTCCGCGTGACTGGCTGCTTGGGTCCTGCAAGAATGGCCCATGTACAGCTCCAACTCAAACCGTATCAAAGAAGGATAGCGATCGAGTATCAAGCTTTTGTACACGCCTGGATGATGTGAACCCGGTGATTGGAAACATGTCGCAGACGAAGTGGTAAAAAACATTGAGCTCAGCCTCTTTGGTAGGCCACGCTTCGATTTTTCGATTTTTTTTTTCGATTCGCATCCCAATTCCCCTCATCCAAACTGTACTTTCTATTGCTGGGATATCGGTAGGCAAACCTTGACTCTTGGATCGCGATCAATGAATTCGAAGACTTTTCTTGAAGCACCGACAGCCTGCATCAGTCCATTCCACACCTCACCTAATTCCTGAACAAAATTTAGGGAGTCTCTTCTCACATGCGTTCAGGAAAACAATAAGTGTCACTTACTCTGAGATTCTCTCCAAGTTGAAATTGATACAGTAAGAACGAGACGAGTAGCCCTGATTCGATCTGAAAATACTTGGAATGCATCGAAAGTAAAGAGCTCGTTTATGGTTACTATGACGCAGAGGACCCTTTGACGACCTACTCCATATCTATTCCTAGTTAAATCTATTAGGTTGTCTCATAAGTAGTGTCGCTTTTTTTAAACCAAAAAAATTTCACCTGAATCCTGATGCTTTTACATCGTGTTATATACCATTCGAAAGAGAATTATCTGCTCTACAAGATGTTATGTTCACCTTTTACCTATGTTCCACAGTTTTGAATTTTTAAGGCTCTGCGGAATGGGAGGTCAAGAATTGACCAAACCGACAACTATCTCTAACTTTATCTTCCCTTGGGAGAAATCAATAAATGATGTACCCTCTCCTTACACATGACCTCTTCTTAACATTCGACTATTAGGTTCCCTAAGAAGTCGCGTCGCTCCTTTTCCAGACCTGGTTTTTCAAACCAGAACTCGACGGTCGAGCACCATTAGCTGAGATCTAGGGCAAAATTTTTTTATAGCCGAGACATTGAAAAACTAGTAGAATTCAAAGAACAAGTCATGACTAATTTAGGAATGTACGCCTGGTTGATTTTCTCATCTTCTCAGGAATAATTTTTTTCAAAGAAATGCGGTCACTTTCGCGGATAAAACACCTTATTGCTAAACACCTAAAATTCGAACTAATTCCCAACAAACATAAGAACAAAACAAATCAGGGATGAGAGCAGAAGAAGTGCTCCTAAAAGGAACACCACTTGGTATGAAACAATGGCGTTTACGAGGAACAATTTTAATTTGAAAATTGCTATGGCTCATCGGTCAGCCAATTCGAAAAGAAACACGGGAAAGTTTTTTTGATAACCTAAGAGTGGAATGTTTAGAAGAGGTCATGGGTAAGTAGAGGGTACATCATTGATTGATTTCTCCCCAGGGAAAATAAAGTTAGAGCTAGTTGTCGGTTTGGTCAATTTTTGTCGGCTGGACCTCCCATTTCGCAGACCTAAAATTTGAAAACCCTGGAACAGAGGTGGAAGAGGAAACAGAGCATCTTGTAGAGCAGACGATTCTCTTTCGAATGGTATATAATATGGTGTGAAAGCCTAAGGATTTACGAGAAAACTTTTTGTTTGAAAAAAAGCGACACTACTTATGAGACAACCTAATATTTTTTGTGACCGCTAAAAAGATAGGACGGAAGTGATGTAGTGGCATGTGCGCTGCTTACCATCCGAATTAGCGGATTGAAGCACTACGGTACTCGCCGTAAAAAACGTCAAAAAACGCGAAAAACGCGATTTCGCGTTTTTTTCGTTTTTTCGTTATAACTCGCTTCAGAATTAAGATTTTCGAAATCTGAAAAAAGCATTGAACTCAGCTCGTCGAGTTCTATAAGAATATGCTTTTAAACTTTTAAAAAGCCCTACTTCAGATTGCGCCATGCACTCGAGCTTTGGCTCGAGAAAAAATTGTTTGAATGTGGTGCGCATATAATCCCGCTTATGCATTATGATCTTTCTTCAGAGAGATGGGTCTCAGTAGTTGCTCCAGAACGCGCCGCGTATTCAACATGGTCCATTGTATTGTGAATGGATCGATTGCTTTTTTTTCCAGATTTCATGGTCCCTATTCCATAGCGGCGCGTTAAATGACTTAACACGTAGTCCCTGCGCTCAACATCTCCTCCTCTCGTGTTCAAATGGAAATCATAGATCAATTCTCGGCTGGACAGTTAGCCTATCTGGTGAAATTTTCCAAATTTCCCTTCGTTGAAACCCAACGGAGGAAGGGGGTCGTAATTGTAATGTTGAAGTGGCGCTATACTCTTGAGTTACATTGGGGAACATAGAGAAGGGATTCGTTTGAAAACTTATGGTTTAAAAAAACTCCTGCGAATTTCAAGAAAATTTTGAAATTTTTACTTTTTTCGCGTTTTTCTCTTTCTGCAATTAAAAAAAAAAAAAAAAAAAAAAAAAAAAAAAAAAAAAAAAAAAAAAAAAAAAAAAAAAAAAAAAAAAAAAAAAAAAAAAAAAAAAAAAAAAAAAAAAATAAACCAAATCTTTTCTAAGGGTGGAAGAGCGTTGGTCTGCGGTTGGTTTTAATCTATGGGTGAGGTGAAGAGGCCCCCTCCAAACCTACCACGCCTTTCACCTCTAGGAGACCATACAGTTGGTTCCACAGTTGGCCTGGGAGGGTCAAAAACACTGAGTTAACATAGGCTGCCCCTTGTAAGGCTAAATTGTAACCGAAGCCATTTTGATCACGGATGGGAGAAAAATTGGGTGGCGCATTCCAAGAAGGATCGGTTAACGGTGAATGTGTTGTCTTCCAGTATTAATGATTGAAGAAACCTCAGCGCAACGACACTTCCATCTGTGGGGATGGGGTGTATCTGATGCTGGTGATTGCAGAAAGAGAAAAAGCGAAAAAAGTAAAAACTTCAAAATTTTTGTTTGAAATTCGCAGTTATTACGAAGAAACGCAGGAGTTTTTTTTAAACCATAAGTTTTCAAACGAATCCCTTCTCTATGTTCCCCAATGTAACTCAAGAGTATAGCGCCACTTCAAAATTACAATTACGACCCCCTTCCTCCGTTGAAACCCAACGAACAGTTGTCCTGAGTTAAGAACATCCGAGGGATTGTGAGATTCCCATCGACGCCGCTTGACTTCCGCCGCTCCACGCTTAGCTTCGTAGCTTTTTGACCAAATATGGTGTCTGTTATAATAAAATGGCCATTGCGGCGCTACAGCCTGCTCTAAATCTATTTTTGCCCGAAGAGTCCTTTAAAGCTAAGTACTGCTAGCCGCTTTATTCCTATGCTCCTCTCATATGTTTGTGCAGTTTTTTTGTCAGCGGCATCACTGTGATCAGGGGGCAAGGATTTTCGGACAACCAAGTCCCTGAGGGGTACAGATTCTGGGTTAATTTGCTACCCACTCTGGGTTTCCCCATTAAGGGTTAGTCCAAACTTTTATAACAAGGCAACAATGTACATGGCTTGGCAGTACATTCGTTGGACGCTCTGCACCGCATGCCCCGTCTTATTGGTATAGATCGCATGTGTGATTTAAATATCTTTACGGTTTCGAATGGGAGTCAAAAGTGCAACGCCTTGAGGGAAAGAATTGATCAATGTTCGTTGCGGAGTGAATCAGCTGCTACCATAAGAGGCAATAAACATCAAAACTGAAAAATGAAACTGTTCTCACCCTTCCTTGTATGACGAGATGACCACCGTACCACAGCACAACCGTGAGAATGCCCATTTGAAGCAACTGTAATTCAAGAGAATCCGAAACACTATCTGTGCAACCCATTCCAAGCCAAAGGTGCAGCGACAAATAGCACTACTGCACGCTTATATCGTTCTCCAAAAAGGCTAGCAACAAATAATCTTCATAGCAGTAAATAAGTAAACAGTGAGTCAACCAATAAATAGATGAATAAACGTAAATAAATAATTAATTAAATAATTCAATAAACAGTCGAAATAAAAGAATAAACGAATAGATCATCAGATACTTGAATAAATAAATGTGTGTGTCACGAAATTCGGTGTTACTTGAAGAACCACTTGGAGAGTCCGGGGAGTCAAGTTTGGATGGGTGGGGCATGGGTGAAGAAGTACAAAAATGATACCAAGTGGATATTTGCACTGGGCAATGCCCGCTCGCAGTGGGAGGGGCGTGTCCATGAATGGGTAGTGTTTGTTACAAATCCCCATAATCCGATTCAGGAAAGTCCCAGAAACCAGAAAGAAGTGGATAGAAGTTAGAGAAGAGATAGAGTTAGAGATAGAGTTTAAAAGTTGATAGTGGGAGTGGCGCACAGCAAAATGAGTGGAGTTTACCACAAACTTGTAATTCGATTCCAAGAAGTCCCACAGATGGGGAAAAAGTGGAGAGGGTCTAGCAAAGGAATGGAGTCAAATGCTACCAGTGAGTGGGGTTTGCAACGATGTGGGAGGAGCTTGCCACAACACATTATGTTAAGGTTCCAAGAAGGCCCAGAGACCTAGAAAAAATAGACCGAGGTTGGGGAAAAAGAGGAGAATAATTATTGATAATGGTCGTGACATACAGCGGTGTGAGCAGAGTTAAACACCGAACATACAATTCGATCGGAGGAAGTCCCGGACACGGGAAAAAATTGGATATGGACAAGTGAAGAAGGAGAGATCAACTGTGAACAGGTGGGAGGGCGTGTGTCAGTGTGGGCGTAGTTTGCCATGGAACATTATTACACGATTCCGAGACTGCCTCGAAACTCGGAAAAAAAGTGGACGAT